CGGGGGGGGGGGGGGCTGGCCACCCACTGCCAGATGTTCTAGCTCAGGGCTCGGCCAGGTACCCCTAGATCCCTGTGTGCTCCCATTGCTCTGGGTCCTGGAGGCTGAACCAGGAACGTGTGTCTGACTTGAAACCCAGGGCTGGGTGGGGAGGGGACCACAGAGATGAGCCTATGGAGGCTCCATCCTGGGACTTGGCTCTCTGCTGCACCCATGCTGCTGACCCTCTGCCTTCTGTCCTCACGCTAGGGTGGGGCTCCTCCCCCTCCCCCCCAGTGTTTTCCTCAAAGCAAACAAGCTTCTAACTAGTAATAGAGACAGTGACCCAGGGGAGAGTGGAATTCAAGGCTCAGTGCAAGTGTCCTTGGCTGGGCAGCAGCTGTGGGCTTCGGCTGGAGCTGGTGGCTGGGAGATGCAGCCCTGGGTGTTGAGAGGCACATGGCCGAGGGCGGGACCTCAGCCCGGCAGGCTGGGCTCTCTGAGCGAGGCCAGGCAGGGGAGGGAGGGCACGGTGGGGACTGCTGGTGCCCTGACAGGCAGGATGCAGGTGGGTGGGTCACTCCTGCACAGCCCGAGTGGGGCAGAAGCGGGGATGCCCAGCTCCCGCGGTGCCACAGCGCAGCTCACGATCACCCGCAGCAGGAAGTGCTTCCTCCGGAACTGGAAAGCAATGGGGCTGGGGAGGCGGGTCTGCTCAGGGTTCCAGCCCCTGCTCTCCAGAGCAGAAAGAGGAGCCATCCAGGTGCTGGGACACAGCGTATAGTGGGCATCCTGCCCTGCTGGTCAGGCCTCACCTGACTACCACTCAGACAAGAGAATGCCCCACCGGGCAGAGTGGCTGAAACCCACCATGACGAGACAAAGGGGCAGAGCAAGGAGCCGTCGGAGCCACCAGCGTGTGCTATCAGTCACACACACCCGCCTGGCGTGGCACTCCTTCCTGTGGGCAGCCTGCAGCTGGAGTACCAGCTTGGCGAGGACACAGCGAGGCTTCGGCGCCGAGTGGCAGCTGCCTGGCCTGCAGGACGCCTCCTGCTCCCCTGCAAGGCCTCTGTGCCAAGAGATGCCACACACAGGAATGTGCCCCAGCTCTGCCAGCCTCCTCCACCCTGCTCACTTCCCCTCCACAGGCATGACTCCAGCCAGGGAGCACCCTGCAAAGGCTCTGCGAAGGGCTGCAGGGCGGTAGCCAGGGCAGTTTTCCTCTCTGGAGCCGGGGGAAGCCACCACTTCCTCTGCTGCCTCACGGGAACCCTTAAGGACCCTGAGGGCTCCCACAGACACACTACCACGCAGGGGCTGGGGAATGGCTCTGGCTTCCCTGGTTCATAGGTGGGAGGTGAGCCTTAGAAGGAGCTCAGTCAGCCTGAGAGAGAAACACCTGAAAATTACGGGGTTGTGAGTAGCCCACTGAACGACTCTGCCTTGCTCTCCAAACCTGGGAAGGTGAAGGGGACAAGAGATGGCCAGTCTCCAGTGTCCTGCTCTCCCCTGGCCAGAGCTGGGAACACTTAGGGCCCCACTAGCACAGTGGCTGGGGCACACGCTGCACAGTCACCTGATGGCTGCTAGTTATATTGGGCACCAGGCGTCAGGCACTCCCTTGGCCTGGCTTTAAATAGCCCACTGGGAAGGCGGCCTGAGGCCTGCTGGAATGTGCTCTTTCCACTTTGCAGAACAAGTCCCTTCCGTTCCCCAGTTCCCCACGTTTCCATTAAGGACCTGCTCTGTCACAGGCCCCGTCTTGAAATGACAAGTATCAACTGCAAAGCAAAGAGGGCTCCTCTTAGCTATTTGGGGTGAAGGAGCAGCCCCACTTCCGTTCAACATCAGATGGCTCCGGTGACAGCTCGGGCCAGACCCCAGAGCACTGGTGGGGCTGGCCAAGTCCAGCTGGCTAGTCCAGCTCCCAGTCGGCTCCCACAGAAGCCCCAGGCGCACAGCTAAGGTGCTGTCCACACCCATGGCCTGGGCCCATTGGCATGAGTCTGCAGCTTTCTGACTTCATAACCCCTGGGGGACGGCTGGCCTTTCAGCTGCGGTTCTGATCAACAAACCCCGCCTTTCACCCACAGCAAACTTGGCCTCAGCCCGACAGCCTCCTCCCTGCTCCAGAGATCCTGGTTCTCAGACCACCCTGGGCTCTCTAAACGACTTCTTGCTCACGAGGAGGCAGCCTTGCAATCTCTCCCTGGGTCCGTGGGTATTACGCAGAGTGAAAAGCCCTCCCTGCCCACCTCCTGCCCGCTCACTCTTTCAAGGAGCATCTGCCAGGTCGCATTAGGCGATGTGGGCGCAGTTCCAGTCAGGCTGGGATAGCCAGAGGGAGGGAGAGAGCAGCCGGCTCCTGCCCCGGCCCCGCCCCGCACCATCCTCACCTGGAGGTGGGGGAGGCGCGGAGGTCCCAGAGCGGGGCCCCATCCTTGTAAGCCTGTTCCTCCGGCCAGGGGGAGGGCTCTTGGACCTGAGCAAAGTGCGTGGTCCTGGCTGCTTGGGTAGCAGGGCTCGCAGGGACTGCCCCTTTGGTGACAGGTGCCACCTGTAGCTCTCAGAAAGCCCGGTGGCCAGCTGGGTGATGATGTGCTAATGACGGTGGGAGTGTGCGGATTGCATCGCTCGGGGCCGCAGAGGGTCTACACGAAGCCCACCACCTGGGAAGCACCCTCAGCCGGGCGGCTACGGAACCAACCCCTCTTGCTAGTCTATTGAGGGAGAGCGGGGCCACAGGGGACACGGGCTGGGCCCCGCTCTGCCGTGTGGCCTCAGAAGTCATCTACGCTCTCAGCTTTGTTTCCTCATACATGAGGAAAGAGCAGCACTGAGCAGCCTGTGGAGGCCAGGACCTGCTCCTGGGGCATTTGAGAGCTGGGATCCTAATCTGTGCAGAGATGTGCTACCCTGGGCCAAGGCTGGGAGCAGCTGGGGGCTCTAACTCAAGCAGCCACCCACTTTGGACAGGAAAATCATTTTCCAGAGAGCCATCATCTGCCTGCTACCGGTCATGTAAGAACACAGCTCCCCATCCCCAGCTTTCCATCTCCCTCAATATGCACCATAGCACCCTAGGAACGGACGGAGGACACTGCTAGAGGTTTCTAGGAAGGACCGATTGGCAGCTCAGAGTGTGGCAGCTCCCAGAGCCAGGGAGGCTCAAGGCTGCCTGGACTCTCCTGGCACTGCCAGACCCACCCAGGGGGTGTTCCCACGTCTGGCCCCTCCCTGTGGCTGTTTACACCCGCTGCCCGAACGCCACGCCCCCACTAGCCT